CCTTCATTTGTAAGCAAAACAAATGTATCCAATTTAGGCAGCATCATAATCTCATGAACATTAGAATCATTACCAAGAAATGAAAGTACCTGGTAATTTAATTGGCGTGCGCGAGCTCTAGTAATTGGTCCAGTATATGTAACAGTAGGGGCTGTGGGTGTAACAATGGTATTGATGTCCTCATCATGTTGCATCTTTCGGTCCAAGTGCCTCTCCACTTTCAACTGTAGGTTTCTCTGAAGTTGAAATTGCTGTACTTACAGGTTTACATTTGTCCAATCCCACTCTCTTGAGTATATCATTGGTGTATTTTTCGTGTGTAAGAAGTATACCATCCTTTATCTGATTAACTTCTATGCCAAGAAAATAATGAAGATCACCTATGTCCTTGAGAGAAAATTCCAACTTCAAATCCTTAAGCAAACAAGTGGTAGCATGTGCACTTGAACTAGCAACAATTATATCATCAACATAGACAAGCACAAATATAGTGATCTTATCTCTATGATAAAAGAACAATGAGGTATCTGCTTTAGATGATGTAAACCCAAGTTGTTGTAGCTGCATATTCAACCTTGAGTACCAAGCTCTCGGGGCCTGTTTCAAACCATACAAGGCTTTATCCAACTTACATACATAGTGTGGTGTACTTCGGTCCTCATATCCTGGTGGTTGCCGCATGAACACTTCTTCCTCAAGAACACCATGAAGAAACGCGTTCTGAACATCTAGCTGGCGTAGGCTCCAACCTCTGGAAACAACAATAGACAATACAAGTCGAATAGTAGCTGACTTAACAACATGACTAAAAGTATCTTCATAATCAATACCAAATCTCTGTTTGAAACCTTTGGCAACTAGTCTACCCTTGTATCTGTCTATGCTTCCATCAGATTTTCTCTTTATCTTGTATACCCATTTACAATCTATGACATTGTGACCCTGCCTTGGTGGTACTAAATGCCATGTTTTATTTTTCATGAGTGCATCATATTCATGATCCATAGCTTCTTTCCATTCTTTGTGTGTAAGAGCATCATGCAAATGAGTTGGTTCACCAATGTGACTAAGAAAAGCACGCTTTACTCTGTCATACCTGACCGTACCATCAGTATATTCTTTTTCTTTAACAATACCTCACTGTGATCGAGTATGTCGACGAGGAGGTTCTGGTACTGTAGATGCTGTAGGCACAGAAGATCCAGGCGCAGGAGATGTTGTAGAGCCAGGCACAGAAGATCCTGGCTCTTGATCCAAGAAGGATAGTCGCACAGGATCTGCAGAGGATCCAAGCGCGTGATCCAAGGGCGATTCTGACCCCGCAGGCGCCCCGCTGACGGCGCTGTCGACGGCTGGCTCGGTACCGCGCACATCACGTGAAGACGGGATTTCTTTCGCGCGTGGGCTGGCGCGAGGGCTGGCCCCGCTGTCGGGGTCCACCAGGAGCGTGCTGTCGGCCACAACCGTCTCAGGAGTGGGGGAACCCACGCTGGCGTCCACCTGATTAGCTGCATGCCAATCTACGTCGGATCGCTCGACGGCAGAGGTAGGACTGGCACACAGATCAGCGTTGGATCGCGCGCTGCTGCTGCCAGGTGAATCCGCCTCGTGCTCTGTGCCGTTCCTGTCTTGTCCTGCACACATAAAATCATGGCCCAATTCTGCACAAACATCATCAGAACCACTATTTTTGATGGAATTTTGCACACGGTCAGTTTTATTTAATTCACCCTCGTGATCGGAAAGGAGTGCTATTTCAGCACGGAGAAGGGCTCCGGCGTTAGGATGAAGTTTGGCGAACGGAAAAAGGGTCTCATCAAAAACAACGTCGCGAGAAATATAGATGCACCCGGTTGCAACTTCTAAGCATTTGTAACCTTTATGAAGATTGCTATAGCCAATAAACACACATTGAGTAGAACGAAATTCGAGTTTATGGCGATTGTATGGACGTAGATTGGGATAGCAAGCACACCCAAATATTTTCAGAGAGTTGTAGTCAGGTTTTTGATGATACAAACGCTCCAATGGAGTAGTGTTGGCAATGACTTTACTAGGGAGGCGATTTATCAGATAGGTGGCAGTGATGAATGCTTCATCCCAATACTTGAGAGGCATAGATGCATGAGCAAGAAGTGAGAGACCAACTTCAACAATGTGGCGATGTTTTCGCTCAGCGGAGCCGTTTTGTTGGTGAGCATGAGGGCAAGATACATGATGTTCAATGCCTATGCTACGGAAGAAAGAGTTGAGTTTTTCATACTCCCCTCCCCAGTCACTTTGGACTGTCAAAAATTTCCGATCAAAGTGACGTTCAACAAGTTTTTGGAACTCTTGAAACACAGAGAAAACTTCAGATTTGTACTTGAGCAAATAAATCCAAGTAAACTTGCTATAGTCATCAATGAAACTGACATAATATTTTTTTCTGCCAAAAGAATCTCTGGCATGACCCCATACATCACTAAATATAAGTTCCAAAGGAGCATGAGATACACTATTCGACTTGGGATAAGGGAGTTGGTGACTCTTGGCATATTGACAAGCTTCACAAACAAACTCATTAACTGAACTATGTGACAATAATAGATTGTCTTTATTGACTACTTGTTGAACTATGAGCGATGACGGATGCCCTAATCTTTGATGCCATCTGGCCAAGGAGGGCTTGATGGCGGAGTGGACTTGACGGCGCTTGCGACTAAGTGCTCCGGATGTGATGGGGTAGAGACCTCCAATGCATCTACCGTGATGGAGGAGTTCCCTCGTTGCCCGATCCTTTATGAAAAAGTAACGAGGGTGAGTTTCAAAGAAGATGTTATTATCATTGGCTAAACGAGACATGGATGCAAGATTTTTGTTGGCTTGAGGAACATGAAGAACATCTTTTAGGATTAGATCACGTTTAAGCGTAGGGGAATTAATAAAAGCTTGACCAATGTGTTGAATATCCATACCTCCACCACTTGCAGTGTGAATTTGATCGTTGCCATGATACTGTTCATGGAGGGCGAGTTTCTCTAGTTCACTTGTGACATGGTCCGTTGCACCAGAGTCAACATACCAAACCCCTTATCCTCCTTGTTCACGCATGGCAGTAGCAACGTTACGGGAATCAGGAACAAAGTTCTCATAGTACCAATGCCAGCAGTCCATAACTTCATGGCCCGCCTTCTTGCAAAGCTGGCAGCGAGGTTTCGCACGGGAGGAAGGGGGACGGCGGCTGTTGTTGGCGTTGAAGCCACCACCCCCTGCCCTGTTGTTGTAGCCGCTGCTGCCGCTGTTGTTGGTGTAGTCGCTGTTGCCGCGCCCGCGCCCGCCGCCTCGTTGCCCCTGGTGACCGTGCCCACGGCCACGACCACGGGAGGCAGAGTTGGCGGAGGACTGTCGAACGTTGGTGCCGTGGAGGAGACTAAGACAAGCGTCGAAGCTCAAAAGCTGGCTATACAGCTCCTGAACCCTGATGGGCTCCACCCGTGCAACAAGAGCCGAGAACACAGGGTTGTAGTCCATGTCGAGGCCGGCAAGAATCTTGGATACGATCTCCGGATCGGAGAGCGCGGCGGCGGTGCAAGCTACTTCATCTGTAAGACTCTTTATTTTTCCAAGATATTCAGCCATTGTCATGTTACCTTTTTCAAGATTCATGAGCTCAGTGCGGGTGTTGATTGCTTGAGCTTGGCTTTGGGCAGCAAACATGGCATGGATGGCATGCCATACTTCGGCCGACGTCGAGAGCGTTGCGACCTGTGCCAGGATCTCGCAGGACAGAGATCCCATCAAGAATCCTTGGAGCTGCTGTTGCTGCGCGTACCAGAGGGATCGTGCGGGGTTGAGGACCTGTTCGTCCTTGCCGTCCTTGGTGATAGTGAGCGCGGCCGGCGGTGGCGGGCTCTGCGCGTCGAGGTGGTGCTCCATCTGTGCGCCCTTGATCTGGGGCAGCACGATGGCCTTCCAAAGCAGGAAGTTACCCCTCGTGAGCTTCTCGTGGGGTGGTGATCCGAGGAGAGAGGTGTTGGTGGAGGTGGAGAAGGAGGCAAAAGCGGAGGATGATGAGGTGGTGAGCGCACCAACGGTGCTGGCCGTCATGGCGGCGGAGGTGGTGGATATCTCGCTCGGTCGAAGAGGTAGCTAGATGCGATCTTTCCTGATCTAACGAGGAAGAGGCTCTGTTACCATGTAAAGTAATTGAGGAAGTGTAGAACCCTTCGTCTGGGCCGCATTATATATATAAGAGACATGCAGTGGCTTACAAGGTAGAGATCGATCGAGAGAGAGAGAGATCAGGATCGACTCAATCGGTTACAGAAAGAGAAAACAGAAGAAGAGATAAGAGAGAAGATTACAAGTTTAAAACTACTCTCCTATCTCTACACAACTTATTCTAACATATACAGGGGTATGATCTCAAAAAAAGACTATACAGGGGTATGAGCGGACCACATCTTCTCAAGCCCCTTCAATGCATGGCTTGAGATGATGTAGCGTGTAATAACTGGGTCATGGCTTCAAGGGGAGAGCTAGCGGGCCCTGAGCGGACGACGTCTCGTTATATGGAACCAATAATTTCTTCCAGATGCCCTCAGCCTTGCATAGCTGTACCATCACATTTCGCCTCAGAAAAGATGTACACTCTCGTTGCATCAAAGCTAGCTTTTCCGTCCCTGATCGATCGGGCTAGTCTTTCCATCGCAATATACACACTGACTTATGATTACTTCTCGCTGGTAATCCGCACTGGCGTCCGGCGGATCCAGCGCATACATTCTCCGACAACGCATCCGCCGCAAACCTCTCTTCACAAAACCGCACGAAATTAGGCACCAACAGCCGTGTCCAGCGGCGCCCTCCCCGATCTCCAGCCACAATTAGCTGTAACCCACACCAAATTAGACAATCACTCGACCTAATCCCGCTCCGAACCGCTCGCGCCCAACCGCCCCGTACTATAAAACCCATGCCCCCTTGCTTCGCCAAGGCTAAGCTAATCAAGAGCCCAGCTAATAAACTCGGTCTCGCTCGCTGCTCGATCGGAGAGGAATAAACCGGCCGCTCCCCTGCTCGCCCGGCCGACCTCCGCCGCGCCGGCCGTACGTACCCAATCGATGGAGATGAAGAAGGTGTTCTTCGCCGCTCTTGTTGTCGCCGCCTCGGCGACCGCGGTGCTCGCCTCCGAGGCGCCCACCGGTGCCCCCGGCGCCCCCGGCGGCGCCCCTGGCCCCGCCGCCAGCGGCGCCTCTGCCTCCACCGCCGTGACCGCCCCAGTCGCGCTCGTCGTCTCCTTCCTCGCCTACTACCTCCACCACTGATTGACGCGGCGTCGTCTGTCTCTGTTCGTTCGGTCTAGGTTGCTGCTGCTGTGATGATGGAGAAGAGGGGGAGGAGGGGGCAGCGTCGCATTGGTGGCACGCGCGCGCTTGCATGCATGCATGGGCGTGAACGATGCGGCGCTGTTTTTTTTTTATTATTATTATTAATCTGATCTGATTCGTGCCATATTTATTAATTATATGTAGCTTCTGTTTGATAGTAATCCTATTATATGTGAATCGAGTTGTTTCATCCTGCTGTGTTCTCTCGCCATTTGCAAATGTTTTGTTCCTCCCGTTCTTGCAAATTTTCGTCGAAATCACTAGTTGCTCCCGATTTTCGTCTAGTGACCACGAACATTTTTTTAGGAAGTGTCCACGAGCCTATATGTAGCCCATCTGCCCAGGGTGGTAGGTACTAGGCCCAGTAGGTTGTAATGAAAGCCTGTCTAATTAAGCCGACGATCCCAAGCCTTGGGAGATAGAGAAAGGCCCAAATTCGGCACTACCAGTCCAAAGGGCCGAAACGTCCACAAGCTGCATGCTCCCTACATTTTTATGTTGCTGGCAAGAATCCGTCGGAAAAACCATTTCTGGCGTCGGCTGTGTCCCTCTCCAAATCCTCCCCCAGGTATGTCCGGTCAGGATCTTGGACGTAGAAGGTGTAGCAGCAGCTACGTATACGTAGACTATTCTCTAAATAAAAGGCTACGTAGACAGGCACCAACCTCTCAACGTCCTAGGATAGTACATTGGCAATATGGTATCCAACGCGGTCCATGCAATCCGTTTTCCGTGCGGCTAAAGCACGCATCAGCTAGCTTGCACATAAGGATGACCGCGATGTGGGAATCCAGGTCTTCAACGGTTCTGAAATGAACCCATTTGGCACTTTTTTTTTCAGGAAACCCATTTGGGACTTTAGAACAACTCCAACGAGGTGACTCATTTCATCCGCGGCCGTCCGTTTAGGTCAGTGCGGACACAAAAGGCGGCCCAACGCGCTGGCCCAAACGAACGTGCGTCCGTTTTTCGTCTGCGGACGACCCATTTTTAAGCTGGATTTACGTCGACGCGGACACGCGACGGACGCGCGCGCGCTCGCCTATTCCTCTCCCCGGGCCCGTTGGTCTGTGACACATTGGCCTCCCGTCTCACCCTGCGGCCAACAAGCAACCCTCCCGCCTCCTTCGTCGCCGCCGCCGCCCATTTTTTTCCGGCAACTCTTCCAGCTACGGCCGCCTCCACATCCGCCCAGCAACGCCGCCCCCCCCTCGCCCTCCGCCGCCGTTTTGCCGCTGGGGAGCAAACTGCTTCCCACCGCCGCTTCCCCCACCGCACAGCCGCCTGTGATCAAGAAGCTGTTTGGGAACGTAGTAATTTCAAAAAAAAATCTACGCACACGCAAGATCTTGGTGATGCACGGCAACGAGAGGGGAGAGTGTTGTCCACGTACCCTCGTAGACCGAAAGCGGAAGCGTTAACACAACGCGGTTGACGTAGTCGTACGTCTTCACGATCCGACCGATCAAGTACCGAACGTACGACACCTCCGAGTTCAGCACACGTTTAGCCCGATGACGTCCCTCGAACTCCGATCCAGCCGAGTGTTGAGGGAGAGTTTCGTCAACACGACGGTGTGGTGACGATGTTGATGTTCTACCGATGCAGGGCTTCGCCTAAGCTCCGCTACAGCAATATCGAGGTGGACTATGGTGGAGGGGGACACCGCACACCGCTAAAAGATCAAACGATCAATTGTTGTGTCTATGGGGTGCCCCCCTGCCCCTGTATATAAAGGA